CTAAATTACAGATACCCCCTGAGAATAGTGGTAAATAGTGGTAATATATAATATGTAAGTGGCATATAATCGGTTATGATGATGTTTGTAATATCTCCTATATAAGGAGTGTCATTTGGTCTTGTAAGATAAGAAATTTTGAATATAACAGAAATATATTCCTTCTTCCTCATATTTTCGGAGTTCTTCTTCTTCATATTTTCTAAGTCTTGTGTTTTTTGTTGTTTTACAGCATTCCACCTCTTTGTGTTGTTGGATTAAGTGAAGAAGAGGCTATTGAGCAAGCAAAGGGTGATATTTCGATTTTTACATCGACATTCAATCCTATGAAGAACACCGTCTCAGGGTACGTGATTGGACATCTAATTTAGGAGACAACTTTATAAGCTTAGAGGGAAACAAATTACCTGCTTGGTGTAGGAATTTGTTGTAATGCCCTGGCTTGCAAGGCTAGGGATTTAGAATTTCTTCTTTTGACGATTCTAATGGTTCAATACTTTGAAGTCATTGGATTTTTTCTAGAAAACATGATTATCTGTGGAATTCCATTTGACTCTATTATGTATACAGACGGCAAGAGAAGACAGTTATGAAGCTGCTTGTTGATTCTGAGACGGATAAAGTTATTGGAGCATCCATGTGTGGGCCAGATGCACCAGAGATTATGCAGGTATCATTGTCTCTATATCATGTTTGATTAAGTTCTTAACTTTCAGCTACGTACAGGTTTGAATTCTTCAGTCACTTGGAACTGGATAATTCATATTTTGTTGCGATCCTGAATGGATCATTGCATTGGTGGGAACTTCAGCACTACAAAAATGAAATCCATCAAAGTTCCACCATGATACCTTCGTGCAGAATCTGTGACAACATCACACTACTGCCTCCATTGCCAAAAATAAAAATAAAAAAGGGAAAGTGACTCCTTTGCTTCAGTCCTCTTGAATGAATGGCATCCATTAACAACCATAAAAAAGTTTGCTTTATAATTGCCACCTGTTCTGTTCACTGGTAATATCTAGAACCAGATGAAATTGGTTTATTTGCTATTTTATGTGCTATAAAGGGGATTGCCTGAGCCTGAGTGCTGCTTAATTATATATTTTGGTTGATGTCTATATGTGCAGAGCTTCTGATATTGTCTGAAATATCCTTTACAGGGCATTGCAGTTGCACTCAAGTGTGGAGCGACCAAGGCCCAATTTGATAGCACGGTAAGTTGGAATTCACTCTTCAAAACTTACACTACAAACTGAAATCTGACAACACATACTTATTCTGACCAATGTTCCTGTGCTACCGTCATGTTTTTTTAGTCTGGCATCTGAATTTATGTTTGTTGAGCTGTGGAGAGATTCCTGTAAGAATATTTTGCGGGGATTGTTTACTGTTAGCCCTATCTAGATTGTTGCTTTATTAGCCTTCTGATTGTTTCAACTTTCATTGATATCTGTTATTAAAGGTGTTTTTTTTTTTGTTTTTTTGGGGTGACAGGTGGGAATACACCCTTCTGCTGCAGAGGAATTTGTCACTATGCGCACAGCAACGAGGCGTATTGCTAAACCAAAGACAAATCTTTAAATATGAATTGCATATAGAAAAATTCAACCATTAGTTGGAAGAGGCATTCTTAGACAGGTAATTTGTTTCATATTAAGTTGAAAATAGGAAATTGGAGACGAGAATTTGAGATGGGTCCCTGTAATAAAAGATTTGATACTGTCATGAAAATTGTGTTTGGTTTCAATTTTTTAAATTCAGTTTTCTGAAAACTGAATTTTTTGTTTTTCATGTGTTTTTTGTTTAGTGAATACTTTCAAAATTTTAAGCATTTTTTTTAAAACTTTTTTAGATGCATCTTAGTTAAATGTATTACAAAGTAGAATATTTGTAAAAAAATATTTTAAAAAATTAATAAATACACAAAAATATAAAAAATATACTGAATTTTCGTGTTTTTTTTTTTTTTTTTTTTTTTTTTTGGTATTTAGTGAATTTTTTAAGGAAAAATTGACCATAAACCCTTCACACTAACAGCTTCCTTCTAAAAGTCCAAGTTTTAAATCTTTAATGCATAAAGTCCCTCTGGTTAATGTATTTAATGCATAAAGTCCATATTCTAATAAGACTACAATTTTGTGGGCTATTTTACCCTTCTTCTAGTACACATTTTTTTATATGCTACAACTCATATGAAACTCTGGACAATGATTCGGTAACTGGGAATGATTTGTGAGAAGTAATAGAGAAATCTTCGAGATGGCGAAGATCGATTTTTGCTTTTTTCGTTTAACAGCAATTCATTTGAAATTCTTACATTTCGTGATCGATTTTAAGGTATTAACCAGGTTCAAATATGTTCCATTTAAAACATTGTTTTTTCATTAGTTTGCTTCTTCACGAAGACACTAATGGGCGGGAGATTGACTTCCTGCCGATGATTGATGAGTGTGAGGGGCTTGCGGTTCTTGTATAGCATGGCTTGGGTTCAAGTTCTCATAGATATACATTTCAATCATTGTTCGAGTTAGAGTTAGAGATTCGTTCAATCACTATTTGATTCTTAATAATTTGTTTAATCACTATTAGATTAATTTTACTTAGATTGCTTTGATAATATATGTCAAAGTTTTATTTGTTGATACTCCGTTTAAATGACAGTAAAATTTTACTCTGGTTTACTATAATAATATGTAATCTATCATTTTTTTTTGCTAATGCTCTGTTTTAAATTAACAATAAAGTTTAAATTTTGTTCTGAATCAGAGTAAAATTTACTATGATTCAACATAAAATTTTATTCTGAAATTTTACTCTGGTTAAAAACATGTTGATTTGCTTAACGATACAAAATTTTATTTTGAATCATAGTAAACTTTACTCTGATTCAGAATATAATTTTACTCTGGTTAAAAATATATTAATTTGCTTAACGATATAAAATTTTACTTTGAATTATAATAAATTTTACTCTAAATCATAGTAAACTTAATTCTGATTCAGAATAAATTTAACTCTGAATCAGAGTAAACTTTACTATGATTGAGTAAAGTTTACTCTGAAATACACTGTGAGAATGACTTAATAGGAGAATTGATAGATATGAAAGTAATATAATAAAAGAAACAAGTTTTAAAATATTAGGAGTTTTGAAAGTACCTATATAATTCATGTCCTTTTAAAAGACAAATTTGACAGTGAGGGGTTCATCATCAAATCCCCAATTTTGTAAAGATTTTTTTTAGAAAAAATATACTTTTTAAGTGTATTTATGTTAAGGCATCGTTTGGCAAGTGCCTTTTTTAGCTAAAAAGTCAAAAAATTACTAAAAAAACAATCCATACAAAAAAGTCAAAGATTTCATTCTCTCTACTTTTTGCACATTTTTTCGTAAAAAGTTAAAAAATTATCCGAAACATACTAATTTTTTTTACATCACATTTTAGCCAAAAAGTTAAAATGTTACTAAAAAAGTCTGTTCCCAAACGAGGCTAAAGTGTGTCTAAAAGTTAAAAAAACTGCTTAAAATATTAAAAAAATTCAGTAAAAATAAAAAAATACAAAAAATAAGAATGTAAAATTTTTTGAATAGTGTTTTCAAAAAACTAGAAACAAACATCAGTGTTTGAGTCCGTTGTTTGCTGAGCAGCTCATAATGTTGTTCACTTTGGGATATAACTAGATGTAGATGGGCTACTCAAAACTATTTTCTCAAATTTAAAATTGGTAACCATGTAAAATGAGGAAACGAAAAACAAATTGGAAGTATGTGAGAAGCATTTGGTCGAAAAAAGTCACCCTCTCTTCCAATTTCATAGTCTTTTTTAATCTTAAGTTTTAGTTGGGGAGAAAAAAAACCTAAAATCAGTTTCCATGCTCTTCCTCTTCCCATGCCAATGAAGCTCCAAACAAAGTCTAAAAAAAAAAAACTGAATTACAGAGTCGTGATCATACAATTGTCTCTAGATCTAATCGTGTGGTACATAAGTGATAACGGGCACAAGAAATGGGGACAGGGGATCTGGTCTCTGTTATAACAGCTTGAATAACCACGTTTCTTCCGTAAAACTCCCAAACTAAAATCTCAGTGATTACTCTGTAATCTTTTCTATCCCAATTGGCAATTTTCTATACGCACTATGTAATACTATTGTGTGATTACATACAGTAACAAATAAATAGAAATGACTGTGACTACATACATGAATATGTACATGTACCTAAACCACTGCTTTTCCTTCACATACATCGCAGATTGTAAATCGAAGGCCGTTACAGTAGGGGCACTTTGCTCCATCGTCTATCCATTCCAAAAACTGCACTCAAACATAAGATCAAAATCTCAAATAATGGCATGGTAGAGTTAGAAAAGGAAAATTAAGAAAAAACGTAAACATCCTCTGACCTGTGGTTCAATGTTTGGTTCACCTGTTCCGTCACATTCTGCAAGAGCCATTAATGTCAGATGGTCTTAAAGACAAACGAAGCACTATTGTGACTCTAGTAATGCTATCATTGCTTTTAACGGCCATGGATATAGTATAGCTAAACTTCTACTAAGCTGGCCTATATGTGTGGGAGATATCCATTTTTATTTTTAAGACAGGTACTGTTAGGAAATCCTCTGTTTTTTTGTAAATTAAAGGTAGTACTCCATTCTTCATATGCCAAAGAAAAGAGAAAAAAGTTTGACATTTTTCCTTTAATTGATGAAAAATAGGGAAAAGACTAGATTTTTTAAATATTATTTTATAGGTTTTGTGAATTTCTAAAGGTCAATGTTTACACAAATCTCTTGTTTATTTTCACCACTCTTCTTGCATATCTGAAATGCTAAAAGCACATTAATCGATCATTCTAAATCCAATAAGAGTAAACTCATATTCAACATTGGTACTATTTACATGTATAACTAATTGACTGAGTCACTTAATATCATATCATATACAAAAACACAAACAATAATAAGGTTGAAATGAAAGAGGAAAAAGAACTTTGGATAACAAAAACTACCAATAGATGAGTTGCAAGAAACTAAAATATGTAACCGGGTAATTAGCATATTGGAAAAGATACATACCTGCACATAATACACGACCCACCCCTTGACAAGAAAGGCACCTTGTTGTGGAATCCTTACTTTTGTCTGCACCAACTTGTTTGTTCCTGCCAGTAAGCCTAGAAGGGTCTTCCCATCGGTTCTCCCCAAGAAGAAAGACTCGCTCATGAGACACCTCAATTTCTGTAACAGCTTCTTCCACAACTGTACCCTGAATTTCTGAAATCTCTGTTATAGAAGCAACTACAGCTCCATTTGTAACCTCCTAAATAACAACAGAACCAACATACTCGTGAACTTTGTAACCACATAACTTAAAAAATTGAACAATTTTGCATTGGAAATTCAGGGTTTAGCTCATCTACTCCTTTTTTCAATAAATAACAAGCCTCATCAGCTCATCAGCTCCATCAACACAGGATATAATCACTACAGGAGGGTAAAAACACATTGCATGATGAATCAGTGAGTGTCGTCATAGCTATTAGTTGCAATAATGAACCTCTTCAAGGCAAAAGCATGTATTTTGAATTACTTTTTAAAGCTTGCACATTGTTAGATACTGTAGATATAGGCAGAGAAATCATCGCTAGTATAATCGATCTAGTTTTGTTGGGTTAGACCATTAGAGCTATACGCTGCTTCATGTGCTTTGCGGATGGTAGTTTTATAAAAACAAGAGGTGATTATATGTGCACTCAAATGTCCTACAATTAAATAAAGTAAACTTCACAATGGCACCACATGGAGCGTACACGTGAAATCGAAAAACAAATTAACTGAGTACGTTCAATTTTGACACTGGCACAAGCAAAAACCACCTCAAAAGTAAGATTCTCTAATGCATAGAAGAGCAATGGGCACAAACCTTTGGAAGACCAGTCCTGTCATTCCCTTTTGGATCTGCATTCACCGCCAAGCCAGAACCTCCAATTTGTTGTTCGATATATAACCTCTCTTGGAGTTCAGCAGTCATAATTCCATCTTCAGGGGCACCTAATGTGGCCTGTCAAGCAACGTTATGTGATGACTGTAAAGGAAAGATAGTTGTCTAAGAGAAAGAGGGAATATTTAGATGATCAGATCATCTTTACATTGGCTGTTTGATTAAAGAAAAGACGACATTATTCTTCATCCTGATGATTCTTGGGAGCTCACTGCATGTAGAATGAAACCCAGAACTTACTTGCCAAGTTTTTACAGCACGCTCCGTCCCACTTGAGAAACTGGAATATTCCATATCTTCTTCACCAGAATAAAAACCTAATTTGTGCAATGCTTCCTTTAAAAGCAATAGAAAGTTAAGCCCACTTAACCAAATCAAACCAAACATAAGTCAGTTTTGTGTCCTACTTGGGATTGGCTACAAAGAATCATTTTTTCAAGGGCTATATGCTTAGTTAAACTAAATAAATTCATATAATTTTTCGCAGCATATATATATACGCGCACAAACATACATATAGAAAGCATATTCAATCAATCAAACACTAATGTTAATTTGATAGAAGAGAAATGGATATTGCAAGTAAGCAGACCTGAATAGCTCGAACATCTTCGCCTTCTGATCCCTTCCTCAACGTCGTCGTCTTAACCTCCTTAACTTCCTTCACCACATCCAACACCATGGGCACCGCATTCGACCCGCTCTCCGCAATCCAATTCACATTCTTCCCCATCTCCCCCTCATTCACTCCCTGCAACAGCGCGACAACCTTTTTCACCGCCTCCAACACCGAAACCCCTTCGAATTCGCTCTGGCGGCTCTCCAATTCCTGAATTCGGAGCTTTAGGGCAGAGATTTCACGAATTAAGGATTCCCGCTCAGCGTGCCACTGAGACTCCTGGCGGAGCCACCGCTGCTCCTCCCGCAACCACCGCTGCTCCTCGCGGAGCCACCGGGCCTCTTCTCGCTCGTAACTGGAGTTGTTGGAGGGGGGGAGAGAGAAGCAAATGAGAGACCTAGAGAGAGAATGTGGGAAGGGTTTGGAGATTGGGAATGGAGAGAGATTGAGGTCTGGAGGAGGAGGTTGAGGTCTGGGGAAGAGAGGGTGGTTGAAACTGAGAGGTAGAGAGGAGGAAGACATAGATGCAGAGAGAGAAAGCTGCAGGTGTGAGAGTGAGATTTTTTTTATCTGGTATTTTTTGTGTTTCCCAGTTGAAATTTAAACCACACAATAGGTATATATAGGTGGCGGGAAGCTAAAGTACGCTGAGTGGGCGCTAAAGTGAGCCGTTACTGATTAGCTAAATTGGAGAGAGTTTAAAGTCAATAAAAAATTAACAATTTTTTCTTTGTATTATTCACAAAAGAGTTTAGAAAAAAGGAAAATGTTTAGGATTCATAATTTTTTTTTTTCATAATTTGATCCATAATAATGTGACATGATATATGTCAATTTTTGATTTATTACATATTCAAAATTGTGTGGGGCCTATCTCTCTTGCAACATTACTGTAGAAAAATTTAGAGGTTCAATTTGTGGATCTCTAGCACTATTCTAAAATAAAAATAGGAGAGAAAACATGTTTTTTACTTTTTTAAAAACTCAAAATCATATGTAATAATATTAATTAAGAAAATGCTCCACAAGTCATTGTTTAAACGATAATATCAAAGTTATAATTTCACATGTTATAATATCAAAATATTAAATTTCTGCAATATTGTTCTACTGCTAAAATGTCATCGTGGTACATTTAGATTATCATGTCATTGTGGTACATTCAGATTATCATTCATTTTTATTCATTGGATGTTTTACATCTAGACTATGAGATCAAGACTTTCTTACGTAAGTTAAGTTAGCACAAAAAACATTGTCAAATTTTATGTTAAATTATTTGATAATATCATTTTTATTTTTATTTTGGTAACCTTTTGACATGTCGCTATAGAAGTTTTTTGAGTGAATGTGACATAATTTGGCAAAAACATCCCACCAATGTTCTTGAGGTGCGATGACAAAGTTTTACAAGATGAATTATTAAGCACCATATAACTCATATCACGTGCTACACACTCCTAAATATTTTTTCTTTGGGTTGCCTGTATTTTTAGCTTGATTGTGAAAGACCGTTCAAAGGTTGTTAAAGAAAGGATTTAATTTAATTTTTTTATTTAAAAAAAAAAATTGTTATTAGACAACACCACAAAAGAGGAGTAATTTAAAGATGCAATCCACCGAATGTGCATTACATGTTCTAGGAAATTATGTTTTGATTTCCATTCTAAAAATAAATAAAAAAAAATTATGTTTTGAATGTGCAATTATGCTTCTGACCACCTTAGAATATGAGGATGTTTTCTTCCATTTGAAACACATGGGTGTAATCAATAGATGTCAAAAATCAATTTTTATTTATTTTTATTTTTTTCACTCAAACAGATGGGAGGCTCAAAATATGCCCCCACCTCATTGCCATGCCATCCCCAAATGCTCGCATGAATACTATTGATGAACAACAGTGAAGTTTGAAATTCTTTGTTTTCATTATTCAGAATTTTGGATACAAAATAGCAAATAAAAATAAAATTTCTAATATCAAGCCACCAAATACACAGAACAACCTTACCACCCCACTAGTTTTCCTGGCCACCCAAGTGCCTAGTACCCCCAATTCATCATTAAAAATAAAATAAAATATAAATAACATAAAATTGAAGAGCTTCAAGTTCACTTCAGGAATTCTTGCTAGCTATCTGATTCCCCATTCATCGAGAGGCAATAAAACCTAAGAGAGTACACAACTGGTTTGACAAGATAAGCCTACACAAATCATGGAAGAAACAGAAAGAGGGTTCACAATTACACCAATGAAAGAAGCTAGAAGGGAAATGGCGCATATCCAAAAATCGAGTACAACTTAAGCATAAGATTTGATGGCAACCTGGAATGCTTCTGGCAGTTCACGGTTGAAAAATATTTCCCAGTAAAATCTTAGTCGAGCTTGACATTAGAATACAAAAGAGTGTCCCTTGTGAGTGGCATGTTCATAAGAAAGTAAATCTGCAGGGAAACAGAAAATACACCAACAAACAATAGTTATATATATAGTGAACAAGTCATTTTTTAGGCAAATCAAAGTTTCATTTAAATCTTATATCCGTGATGTTTAACAACTCTGCCAGTCCCAAGCCCGGGTAACAGTGGAGGGTTGCGTCTTAGGTAGCCGACAACTAACATGTAAAAAGCCACTCGGATCCCTTATAAAATGAATCCTACTTTGAATCGGTTGAGTGGAGAAGAAGGATTTATGTAACCGACCCAATTTGATGGGACTTAAGGTTTGTTTTGGTTTGGTTTATCCGTCATGTGCATAAAAAAACCCATCCAAATATTGTGAATTCTGTTTAAAGAATTTGTGAATGCTTCAATTGCAAATGTAATTATCAAACATATGCCCTCCATCTGTACTGACATCAAAATTTTGTGGTTCTAACAACATATAAAGGAATATAAAATTAAATATCATGCATAGAAATTGACAGATGATAAATAAATTTATACATCCCTCTCACAGAAATAGGAGAGGTCATTCTTAAGCCTCGTTTGTCAACTATAAATTTTAGTCAAAAAGCTAAAATGTTACTATAAGTTGTCACATCACTCTCTCTATTTTTCTGTAAAGTTATTATAAGTTGTCACATTACTCCCTATACATTTTAGTCTTTGTGGGAAAATAAAATTAAAAAGTTTCAGCAACCACAGGTTTGACAGTAATACATTCTAAAAGAACATATAAAACAGTGATTCAAATGAAGAGAACAATGAGAAGCATAACATCAAAGATAAAAGGGAGCATGGAGTCTCTTGCATTAAAATCATTAGGCTCGCTAACAACAAAAACAGGCTTCCCTAGTATCCTCCTATCACAGGCCAAAATGAAAGTAGTAACAAAAACAGAAAACTAAGAATTGAATCGATATGTTATGGATGTTGAATTTTATTACTTTCCAAGTTAATGTTAAATTGTTAATAAGAATTACTTTTATATTGATTTCCTTCAACTCATTACAGGACTAAGATTGCAACTAAAATTAGGAAACCACATATATAACAACTAAAGCTAAATCCTAACAAAGAAGTGCAATATTCGAACTTCAATCATGAGACTCAAACCTACATATTGTTATAAATTTTAAAAGAGTAAGCTAATTTATGAAGATTCCCAATTTTTTTAGTGGGAGAGAGGATCATGAACATGAATTGATGTCAATTTATTTTTTTATTTTTATTTTTTGCAGGCAGCTATTAATTCACAAGCTGTAAGAGATTTAACGGCAGCTACAGAACTGTAAGGGACCATAACAACATATAAAGCGGATCATGTCAGATGCTACGGCTGTCCAACCTACTACAACTGATTCATTGGTCTGTAACCATAATGGAGCTTGGTAATAATGTGATGTAATGCTATCACTTTTAAAAATCATATGTACAAGTTGAAGGCATCACAATGACAAGAGGAAAACAATTAAAGAAGGTTTCCACAACTGATGAGAAAGACACCATAATTTACAATTAAAACGCGTTCATTTTTCTCTTAATAAAATAAAAGTAGTCTAGGGCAGTATTGTTGTATACTCAACATTTATTGCCCTGTTTTTTATCCTGGAGTACACCTATTCTATCTATCCTTAGAAGTGGGGAAAGTGAAAACCTACATGGCTAAACTGTCACCCAATATTCTTAAATGTTTTCATGAAACTAAGTTTTGCTTGAAGCTTGGGGTGTGATGTTGGCATTTGGAAAGTTTTATTAAAAGTTTATCCACTTTTAAATACTCTAATGTCCTAATTTTAAAAATGTACTTTTCAGGAGATAAAACTATATTAATTGACTTCCTATTTTCATTCAAAACATGCATTGCCAAGTATTCTTATTTATTTATTGATAAATGCCAAGTATTCTTATTTATTTATTTATTTTGATAAATGCCAAGAATTCTTATTTTTGCAACTTGATTGAAGGAAAAACAAAGTTGAAGAGCTTTGATAAGAAACTCACCCCTAAGAGAGTGGCAATTACAAGAATGATTCCTGTTATCCAAGCAAGGGTCCATCTAACCAACACTATTTCTGCAATAGTGGTTGAATTTGGTGGGCCAGTTGTTTCCTCCAGCCAACGTGCAGAGGGCCGAGAAGTAATCATAACATTCAACAATGTTTCTGACTCTGGAAGAGGTGTTCCATTACATAGGATGACTCCTACAATTTGTCCTGCTCAACCAATACATGAAGTTGGTTAAAGATTGGGATGTGATGCATAGAATTATCATACAACAATGAACTAAAGAAACTAATAAAAATTTAAGAGAGTGCAAAAAAAATATTGGCAACAGACTCCAAATAAAACACTGATCATTTATCAAAGAAAATTACGCACAATAAATCTATTTTCGAGTGGTAATGCCAGTTAAAAGTCTTTATGTTAAAGACATAGCTAACAAACAGTTAACACACAAAAAAGCAAATATATATGTTTATATATATAGCCTTAACTATCACTAAAAAGTTTCATTGGTTGAAACATTGCAGTAGGAAGAGAAGTGGAGCATCTCAAGTGAAAATTCCCAGAGACAAGAAGAAAATTGACCTTTGTACACTGCCTGCAGAGAGTCAAATATCTTCGAAATTGAAATAAAGAATAATTCCTGCCCTTGCTCAGCAACACCTTCAGTTCTGTACTCCTCTTGCAAAACCTGCAAACATATTTAATATATTGATAAATAAAGCAGCATTACTGATTACTGTGAATATTATGCATGCATATATTTAACATTCCAGAGTACTTCTCCAGGTCTGATTTGTAGGCAAGAAATGTACTTTGAATGCTAAATAAACAGTACATCAATGTTTCCTCTGTAGGCCTTCATTCCAGTCATGCACATATTCATAATTTTTTTTGATAAATCCAGTCATGCACATATTCATAGTTTTGAAAGATTTGAAGCTACTTGAGTAGGCAATAGAAAAATGGGCCACCTTAATGCCATCAAAACTTCCTGTAATTAATTCTGCTGGATTTCGCATACTTCCAGACAAATCTTGATGCATTTCCACTGCCATTCGAATATTGCCGATGAGAGACACAAGACTTGTGATGAATTCTCTTTCTGCTTTCTGCATATTCAAGCAAAATTCTTCCAATAAAATCTAAGTATATGGCAAATGAAGTTAATGGTTGGCATATCTATACTGACAAATAAATCTACAACACAAAAAATAATGAACACCTTTGACATATGAAGATTTAGACGGGCACCACTTGCCAAGGGGATAGTCAACTCTCCATTCATGGGCTTCAAGGCATTAGCAACATACGTTCCACCTAACCAGGATGCCTAATAGGCAAATATTTGTCATATATGAACATAATTTAAAATAGCATGGAAATGAGATATGAGAGGTAGTAGCAAGATTCATGACTAACAAAATCACTGAGTTCCTTGTCAGTTAATTCCACGCCAGAACCAAAACTTAATGGTTCATTCAAGGAGACCACAGAGACTTCACCTTCATCTGCAAAAATAGTAGATCAAAATATCAAAATTCACATGCAAAAAGGACATATACTTTAACTAGTGTGATTAGCACAGTACACAAATGTATCCAAGCACCTGGGAGTTGAATATCAGCTTTATTTGATTCCATAAGAACCCTGCTCCTAAGGGCACTACCAAACCAAGCATTGGCTGATTGCACCATGACTTGAGAATCTGCATGTACTAAAATATTTCATAAACTTTTCAACTGCATACAGAAACATTACAAATTGAATATTATGATGCATTTCAGATTCAAGTTCAGGTACCTTCAGCTTCTCTGACATCTAGCATAAAAACAGAACGAGGCCTATCAAATGGATTAGGCATGAGAACCTCATTCAACTGCAAAAACAATATTATTACTGATTGATTAGATAAAAGAGGTCCAATAGTCGAGATGAGAGAATACCAGCAGGTTATTTCACATCTGATGCGATTATGCTTACCCTAGACGAACCAGCTGCTGAAAGCGTAGCAGGTGGTGCAAAACCAAGCAAGACAGACACAGCAGCACCAACTTCCGGGAGTAACATTGAATCAGTCTACATATAAAGATAATTAGGCAGTCAGACCACTATGGTGATAGTAATGTTAAATCAGTACTCACTACTACATGATAAAACGCATATGAGAGTTATGACCCGATGAAGGGCCTCTCTAGTTGGCCATGTTGTTTTGTTATAGAGTAGGGTGACCAAGCAGAGATACATTAGTTTGACAGAGTGGTACTCCGGTCATGCCTTGGGATGCCATATGGGAACAAAGCATGGGAGAGAGAATGACTTGGTGAAAGTTCATTTGATCAAGCCCAGGGAGTGTCCAGATATGGTGCTACCGAGCATGGGTGGTCAAGCGAAAGTGCCCTAGCTTGGCCGAGTAGTGCTTTGGACCACACCTTGGGATTCCCATCCTTTAACTCATCCACTTGGTGCACTGGCTTGCAACCAAGGGGCCACGCACATTAGTGGTCACAGTTTATGTGCCCCTGCTTAGGATTGGCAGATGACTCCGATAATCAATTTAGGATAAGGCATGGCATGGCACCCTTGAGGGCTTGCTACATGGAGGTTATAGTCCTTAGTTTGAGGATAATATGGTACCTGCGGGGCCAACAGTGCCACCGCGTAGCAAGGGTAATCCAAGTACCCACACTAAGCAATCTCTTTCATTCAATTGCTAAGAAACTGCACAAAAACTTCAATTTCAAGCCCTATATTTTTATGTCGGCAATATTTCCAAGAAACAAAATTGGATCGATGGGACCATCATATAGCCAACAAACTAAAACTGGTTCATCTTCGGTGGCAATTTTCCTATATTTCTTGTTTCTTTTTCCTTTTAATTTCAAATACAAAAAAATAAAAATAAAAATAAAAATAAAAATAAAAATAATTCTAGTATCCAAATTTAACTTTTTTTTTTGCACCACATTTTCTCAACAATTGAACAAAGGGCAATAAAAAAAGAAAAAGAAAAAAGAGAGAGAGTGAGAGAGAATTTGATGATTGAAGATGAAAAGAATTACATGGGAACCAATGATAGATTGTAGAGTGATGGAATAGATACTATCACTGGCATTATTCTCGGGATAAGTAATGCCTAGGATATTTATTATATTAAAACAAATTAAAATTAAAAAATGAGATTAAAAAAAAAAAAAGGGACCACGAATAAGTTATTGTTCTTTCTTGGTATAACTAGTGGCATCGAAACAACCATTTTTTTCTTCTTCTCCTTTTCTTGTTTTTATGTTGTTTTTTTTAAAGTAATTTGAGAATTGAGAAGTTAAACTGAAACTAAATGATGGCAATGGGTGATGTAAAGATTTCAAAATGAGTGAAAGGAGGGCTTATGAGAGAATTTGATTGGCTAGTTCAACATGCAACTTAAAGAAGCAAGTCATGATTTTACCAAAATATTAAATTCTGGCAACGAAGCAAAGAGTGATAAAATAGAGCCCATAAAAAGTTCTTTCATACTATATGCTCTAGGTTCAAGTAGCAAAAATCAACCTATTACCTCTCCCAAATCTTGTTGTAAGTAGGAGCCTTTTTGCGCTAGATACAACCATTTTAAATTGAGTACAAAGATTTTATGATAACCACAGGTTGCTCCACAACTTAAAGAGGCTCTACGACATCATGAAATATTTTGAAATCCCTTCACATGCTTCATTGATCCAAGTACATGGAATTCAATTGACAAAGCCATTTTAGAAGTTACTACTAAACAATGTTACCAAAAACACTAATACTCTAGGAATTACGTATTGGTACACACGTTCAGAAGCATGGTACACGTTCGTTCCCAAATAATGTTACCAAAAACACTAATACTCTAGGAATTACGTATTGGTACACACGTTCAGAAGCATGGTACACGTTCGTTCCCAAATAGTAAATTTAGTGATCCAAGGTGTTTCCAAAAGTTGTTTTTAATATATTTTCTTAAATGTTACTTTAGGAGAAAAAAATCAAATATAATGAATTAAAATTTAAGATGAGTTAAGTTTTGACAAAACAAAAATATTATTCTAGAAGTATCTTAAATTCTTTAGTGTAATATATACTACTCTACCCCTATCGTACCACATTTGAGAGCATGTGGCGTATCATGTTCACGTTTCCGTTCCCGTTCCTGTTCCATGTACCAGAACGGTCCATGTTCCAGGTAACATAGCTACTAAATATATATATATTTTTTTGGTAACTAAGAGTTTAGGTGAGGGGAGGCTACCTCAGTCCAGAGCCAAGGCAAGCCGCAGGCGTCACCGATGACTTACATTAAACTTATACATCGCCCACCAAGGAAGACTGCTCGGAAATCGAACCTAAGCCTTGAAGGCGAAAAGTTTGATCCTTACCAACTCAACCAACCTTTGTTGGCACTACTAAAAATTGTTGATGCTAGAAAAAGATCTTCCACAGGCCCATATAGTGCAATAGCTAATGGATTCTACTTTGGAGTTCACAATGCCAATGTGGTCACAACTATAAGCTAGACTAAATTTTACCAAAATACAATAATGGGCCGGTCACCATTGGCCTGAAGCAAAGTTCCAACCTTGAGGGTAAGGTTGAAGTCAGAAGTAGTAGACAATTAGGTTGAAGTAAAACATTCAAGTAATAATATGATATTACATAAAAATTGTTAAATCATAATAAATAAAATCTGAAATTACATAGATAAAACGCCACTGCATATTGCTGGTCCATGTGCAATATGTGGACAATGAAACTTGAATGGACGAGGGAAAATCAATATCTCCTAAAACTATTGATTTGTGGAGCACTACGAATCGGTTCGAAAAAAGAATCAGCCAACGAGGTGCGATATCCGCACACATGGTTAAATTGCCGCCTAACAGAAAACCCTAAATTGTTCAGTTATGTTCAGGAAAATTAGTGTTTTTGTCACCCAAAAGCTGTACTGAATGAGTTAGTTAAGACTAAAAACCCAAACTAAGAGAAAACAGATCAATACGCAATACAATTTGGTATCGAAACGATTGAATTGGAATAGGAGTCTATAGAAGTTATACCTCAGAGATGGAATCCGACAAGGGAGGCCGAAAATACTGATGAATTGAGCTATCGAGAAAGAAGACCGAGCCAGTGCCATCGGCCTAGATCAAAATTAAGCAATTCAACAACACGATTATCAGATCCACATCCACACCACGAATTTATAGATAGAAACAGTTATATATATATATATAGAGAGAGAGAGAGAGAGAGAGAGAGAGAGAGAGAGAGAGAGAGAGAGAAACAAACCGTAGCTTGTAAGGAGCGAAACGATAAAATTGAGAGAAGGAAGAAACTGTAATGAAAATCCATTAGAGAGAGAGAGAGAGAGAGAATTTGGAGTTGTGATGATTCTGTGATCTGTGTAGGAGAATTGGGGAAGATGGGAAGGGAAGTCGAGGAGAAGAAATCAAACAGATTAAACGACGTAGTTTTAAAAGGAAACGACGACGTTTTACAACCTGTTCTCTCCTCTAAGATTGAAATGGGCCTGAAATGGGGCGGATTTTGGGTGCTGGAGTTGAGAGATATGGGCCTGTAAACAAATCAGCGGCTCGTTAATAACCATTTTATCACGATTTGGTTTAAGCCCATTGTCGGATTGATAACCTCATTCTAATTTGTCTTTGCTTAAATAGCATATGCATAGAATGGAGCAAAGCTGAAGTTTCACCATTACTTACACAATCCACTAAAAATCAATCCTTGAAAACGTTGGTTCTCAAATGTTTTATTAAAGTTTTTACTACACTTGCGTGGATCTTATATTCATGTAATTGTTTGGTAAAAATTTTAATAAAATATTTAGGGTCTTTATCATTTTTTTTTTCATTTTGTCTTTTATAACATTTAATTTAACGTAAATAAAGGAAATTCTAATATATATCCCTTTAAAAGGGATATATCATATGTAGCTGTAGTTATTCTATTTTCTTTTTTAGTTATGATGATTTTTTTTTAGTTATGATATTATTTTAGTTACAACTCATGAATTCTTTAGTTATAACTCATGTCATGTTTAGGTATAACATTTTTCTTTAGTTATGACTAAAAAAAATTAAATTTATATATTTTTTTTATAGTTATAAAGTACATATGATACACACATTTTAAAAATTATGCGTCATAAAGTTTCCCAATAAATAATTTGGATTAAAATTAAGCTAGTAAAATAATAAGAAATAAATTGACATGGTGCTCTTTTGAGAAGTTGGTAAAAAGTCAACTTCCAGCTTTTTACCAATTTTAGGTGACATCACCTTTCACATAACTTACTTACAAAAAGACAAAGTAAGCTTAAAAAGTCAAAAAACTAACTTTTTACCAATTTTCCAAAACACCCCATAAACCACCGTACTTGTGTCTAGATCAGTTTGCATGTATTTCAATTAATTCTGAGATTTTAAAATTAAAGATTGGATAAACCTCCAATAACTCTTGAGTGAGTCTTTCCTGTTTGGCCAACTTTAAAATTCAATCACTTTAATTTATAATAATTGCAAAATTATTATCAATACATTTCGCAGTTATGATTGAATCCCAAGAAAGCCATAAACAGCCCGACGAGCACGCGCATCAGTATGTAGTTTGGTGGGTATATATGAACGTCAAGCAGTCAAATATCATGCCATGTATACATCTATATATATATATTAGCAATAATAATAATAATAAAAATAAAGTTGGCATGATGTGGGGTTAATGTCTGTCTATGTATTATCTCCATCAACAGACATTTATACTTTCTTGCCATTTTATATAGTCTCCTTTTTCTTCCAGCTTTACCACATTTGACTTGTGAATAACCCATTTGTCTTACCATATTTTGATCCTGCTAATTCAATCTTTAAAGCTTTAAAGGGGCGTTGAAGAATAAAATAAATGACAAGAAAACTTGCATATATAACAAAATTGGACAATTATTTGAGCCCAATTTATGTACAATTCACCCCCTTTTTGTTTTTTTGTGGGTGTGGATACATTTGAGTTCTTAGTTTGAATAGGGTTTTAAATCATTCACTACTTACAACGGCTTTATTAGTCAATTAAATTAGACTCAGTTAGTGTATAAATCACTTTTGCAAAAAGAATCACGAACATAAAATCTAAGAGGCATATATATAATTTGAGGAAAAAATTAAATATTTTTAAAATAACTTTAAATTGAAATATAATTTTGGATATTGCAACTATCAATACCAAAGCCACTATTACTTTCCAACCATCATCACCACCACCACAGTACCGACTATAAAAGTCATCGCCTTTATATAAAAGGCATATATACTCACCACCCTTGCAACTACTATGTAGCGATTCTAATTTTTCGTAATTTATTATTTATTATTATTATTACTTTATTTTATTTTTGACTTTATTAATTGTGTGGAAACATGAGAATTTAATGTGATATTTAATTAATTTAATATGTTAGTTAATTATATATAATTAATCTGAATATTTATATTTATATACTTTGATATATATAGAAAAAATAAATATTTATATAAATTTTATATAAGATATTTATATTTATATATATTGTATTTATAAAATAAAATTTATTATCAATTAGGTTAAAAGCAAAGGTTGTTGTCACTAAGAAAAGAAAAGAAAAAAGAAAGAAAGAAAAAGACGGTTTTGTGGTCTGCTGCGGCAAGAAAGAGAGAAAAAGAGAGAGAGACTAGGTGATTTATCATCAAGCGATTAATCAAAAAGAGAGCAGCGAAGTCGAGAGAGAGAGAGAGAGAGAGCGGCGTGAGAGAGAAGAGGAAAGGAGGAAAAAATTAAGGTTTTGTTTTGATGGTTTTATTAATTTTTTAAGTAATTTTTTGATCTTTAAAAAAATATTATGAGTATAAAATCCACTTCTCTTTATTTATGTTTAATTCGTTATTTTTATTTATTTATTTATATTTATTTCATATTGGTTTGATTTTGTATTTGTATTTGTATGTAGATGATGAATTGATTTCATTATTTAGTTAGATGTGTAAGTAAGGTTTAGGGTTTTTATATGTATTTATTTTATAATTGTAATCACACTCATGGATATATGAAATTAAAATAAATTAGAAACCTATAGATAAATTCCTTACACTCTATCATGACTCCATGGATTGTTATTTTATTTGAGTGTTGGTGAGAAAGAGTGTATTAAAAGAAAGTGAGGATTATGAGATTTATTTGAATGCCTTAAACTTGGCATTGTTATGTTTATTCTCATGAGTGAGATGTTTTGTATATGTATATTGTTGCCTCGTTCTCAAGAGTAGACGAGTGATTTGATTTATGCGCGTACGTATATGCTAACCATTCGGGGAGTGTAGGTCAAATTCGGAACGATATCCCCGTGCAAGTTTGGCTTCGAAGCGGTGTTAGGTATACAGGAGACACGAGATATATGTGTAGGTTGAAAGTGAATGGCCGAAGTTGTGGAGTTAAGGTACAAAGAATTAAATATGAACTTATATGTATAGTTTGAATTGTAATGATTTGTACATTTTGAAACAAATAATAATCGACCTTAATAAATTACGAAATTTGGGCAGATGCATGTGTACGTAATTCTAGACAATTTTTGTGTTTTAACTTTGGACTAAAAAGATCGATTAGAACTTGTAATCGGATGATCTTAGTTATAGTAGTTTTTATTCATTTTAGCAATGCAGATTTTAGAGACTGTTTTAACTCACAAAACGAGTTCATTTTTATTGATTTCATGTGAACTGAAATAAAATATTATTCTGAACACTTTTTGTGTTTTAAACTTTTCCGAAAAAAATCATTTTAAGGCAGTTTCTTTTCGTTTTCAGTTCTAGATTTTTTTGATCGAATTTCGTTTAGGTTTTTCTATTAAGTTTTTCTCTCAACCTGTTCAGTTTCTACTAAATTTTTTCTTGAACTTAGGGTTGATATTAGTTTATGTATTTATTATTATTTTTTTTATGACCTTAGTATTATTATAAGTTGGCATTGTGGGTTATTTTCCAACTTTACATTATTTAAGTTATTTTGACTAATTGTTATACTTTAATGTTGGAAGTATTTGATAGTTATGAAATTATGGTGGATGGTTTGGTTGGCGTTTTGTTAGTTTTTTTTTTTTTTTAAATTTGTTATTATCTTATGAGTATGAAAATTTACTTAAACCTTATGGGACGAGAACGTTTAGATTTTGTTTCATCTCTAGGATTTGGATGATGGAATATTAATTGAGATTTAGTTTTAATTTAATATTTAATTGTCCAAATTTTGGAGTGTGACAGAATGGTATCAGAGTCGACTCTTTGGAGTACCGAGTGTGAGGCCCTGGCATCTCTCTGTGCATGTGGGCGGGCTTGTGAGTTAGTTGGCAGGCTATTGTACGGGGACGTGTAGCCTTAAAGGGGTAGATTGTAAGGTCCCAGTGTCCTACATCGGGAATAGAGAGGGAGTTCCTGAGTTATAAATGTAAAAACCTGGATCCTTATATAGCATTGAAGCCTTTTCTCGAGTGGTGAAATCCTTAATAGAACTCCCCAGTTAAGCATGTTTAGGCTGGAGTAATTCTGGGAGGGGTGACCTACTGGGAAGAACAAATCCGTGTGAACGTGACCCAAAACGGACAATATCGATGATATGCAAAAGGTTGAAGCGTTACATACTACCACTCCTGTCACTACTACTACTCAACCATCAATACCATCACTATTAGTGCCTCTTCACCGCCACCATTACACTGACGCCACCATTGCCACAGTCACTAGGGCATCATGCTGAAAAACTTCAAAGGAGAAGGTATTTATAAAAAAAAAAAAAAAAAAAAAAAAAAAAAAAAAAAGTATGGTACACTAAAACAAATGGAGTGTAGGTTAAATCAATTATTTTGCTCGCTGAATAAAGTTATTTGTTTATTAATTTTTCCTTTAAAAAAAGTCAAATTATTAACAAGGAGGTTGGGGGCGTTAACATCAGTGGTATTGTCAAATAATATAAATGGATGACATAGCTAGATCTCCAAAAATCTTTGCTTCATTGCCTTAACATGGAAAATCTATTTTAGAAGAAGAAAAAAAGGGGCAACAGACAAATGAAGTCTTAGTCATCCATTGTAGCTTCGTACGAAAGGTTCATCCATTGTAGCTTCGTATGAAAGGTTTATATGAATATGCATGCGTTGCCAAACGTCATACATTTATTTAAATTTTATGGTTTGATCAAATAGGTCAAAAGAGTTCTTTCTTTGTCACTCAAATCAATCACAATTAGCCTTCATATCCAAACATGGAGGCGTGAAATGCGCTCATGTGTTTCTCTCCCAAATTTGTTTTTGTTTTTTCAGTTTACTTGTGCCACTCAAAGTTGAATTTTTTAAGACATACCCTAATTTTAGAATTAATTAATTAATAGCCATTACAATTTCAA